AAGTTGATAGTAGCACATTTTATATGCGATTTTCAAAGACTTCAGAAGCCTCTAAGTCGAGAAACGCAAAATGACTCCTGATGATAAGTTCATTTGTTATGAAGAAACGTCCTAAGTAATTTCTCAATAACTACGACCAGATATATCCAAAATGCTTTGCAAAATATCTTTTAAAGCCTTGTAAAATCGATACTCACTTATTTAGAATCACAATATAGCAGCCACAAATAACGCAACGAGTTTTTCAAATGCACCTGAGGATCGCTAAAGTTATCATCATTACACATTCCTTGAATAATGTTCGCTTGCGGATTTCGCTTAAACGAAGGGAAGATATCACGAAGCTTAATTAAACGTACGTCGTAATGGTAGTGAAAGAAAATGTATAGAAGAAAATAATAAACGTACCGTTAAAAAAATATTATTCGGATAATAAAGGGACTAGAACAATAAATTTTGTCCTGTAATTTCGAAAAACTTCATTTAAATGAGCACCGCAAAACTATAATCTACTATCTATTAATATTGTTACGTAATCTTTCTTATTTAGCTTTAGTTTCCGAAGATAAGTTTAGTAATAGTGTGTAAGTTTTGTTTGATATTTTTAAGACTGTAAATTTTGTTTCACCCACCTTGCTCATCTCGTTTTCCCGTAAACTTTTTCCCCTTTTATCTTGGGTTGCCTGAAAGAGAACGCTCGTTAGCAATAAGGCCGCCCATTGCACTCCGTATTTTTAATATATAAGTCTTGTTTATCTTTTTGTTCATCTGTTTTGTACAATAAAGTGTAAATAAATAAATCCATGATTAAATGGTTGAACGTGTTGTGTGGCTTTGCGTTAAGAGGTCCTGGGATTGAATCCCACGAGAAAATAACATCTTAATATTGAAAAAGTTCCAATACTGTAAAATTATTATTAGTACAGTGAATTCAAACCACTACAATAAAAACCAGATTTTGATAGCCTCAGAGATTTGTCATCCCCAAAAAGCTCATTTTATTTTATTTATAAAGGAATAAAATATGTAATAATATAATATAACTCGTTTAAAATAGAAATTACCAATTATGTCTACTTAACTTGTACATATATTAAAACAAAAACGAAACAATCTTATCAAATCTATACAAAACTAACGGGTGCTTCTTAATTAAGCCTAAGAAAGACTAGTTATTGGATAGATTTTAAAATTATTGCTTTCATGTGCAATAACTTGAAAAAATAATAAAGTTTTTAGATTTTTACATTTAAGCATATCTATAATAAGTATTGTCTGTAATATTCTACTCTTTACATAAAGCCTAAAGTGCTTAATTGAAGATTTTCACTAATAAACGATTTATTATTAAGATATAAAAGCTGCTATTCAGATAAAAAATCGATAGTAAATTGAAAAAAATTTCGACTCGGGCCGGACTTGAACTGGAGTCAGCGTTCCGTGCTGTTGCTCAAACCAAATGAGCTACCGAGTCCTACACCTCATCGTCGAATTTTTTATTTACCTTATTTAAACATGCACTTAGCACTTGCGTATTAAGGTATTAAAAATGTTTTTTTTTTCAATTTCTAATAATTTTAGTGCTATCACATGCAAGTATTGAAGTTTCGAAAAGCTTGTATTGCTAACAAGGATTATAAACTTTATTATTTTCCGCATTGGGCTAAAATACTAATACGTATAAACATAAAAAAAAACAATAATATAAATCTTGTGACTTCGCACTATAATGACAACAGCAAATTCCGCATAGCTATAATTAGCAAGGTAGAGCGGGCAAGTGGGTTGTCCGCTGGTACATGGTCTCATAGGCGCGGGGAAACTGCGATTCTCCTAAAGACATTTACTTTTTTCATAGTTTTGCTGCCTCAATGGCGCAATGGGCGATTTCTAATAAGGTAATCGATCTTAGCGAATTTTCTTTATATCGGTCTATTCAACAACTGTTCTTTTTTTTTATAGGAAGACAGACAAGTAGGGGGTTTGGTAGATGAAACACCCCAGCCTATATAGCTTTTAAACAATACGCGACTTGGATATTCGGAAATCCATAGACTGAAACCAAAACGTGATTTAAGATCACGACATTTTCATCTGAGGACGGTGGTTCGTGACCCGGATGGAATTTCGATATTTCTACCATCTTCATTGATCCATCTTCATACTTCATTTGAAAATGGAAATATGAATATTAAATGGTAATATTCATATTTCCATTTCCAAATGAAGTCCAACATATCTCAGAAAAATTATAAATTGTTTAGAAAAATTTTGAACCCGTTAAATATTAAATATTGAGTCCGGCAAGATTTCTTCGTTTTACACATGAAAACTTAATAAAATTATGTTTTTATTGTTCTACAGTTTCGATCCGCCATTTAATTCTAATTTGAAAATCCAAGCTCTAAAACGGCCAAAGATTGGTTTAATTTAAATAACATAGCTTACAATTCCATATTCGAAGTAAAATAGCTTCGACACTATAGTTTGGTAGAGACAAATCGAAATAATAACAATTGAAAATCGATGAAAATCTCAACGAAGCCACGCCCCACCGCCGTCTGCAAATTAGAATTTCAACAGTCATCGGTTGCATTCGTTAGCACATGCAACATCGATTTTTTAATCGAGTATGTAAATTACTCGATAATATAAGACCACCGTTACTCGATTCTCGCGATCAATCTTATACTGTTATTTAACTGTTATATATTCAATTAATTCTATGCTTTACAATTTATACTCATATATAAATCTTTTTTTTTTCAACGAGAATAATATTAATACCAATCGGTTCTTGCAAAATCAATTATAAAGTGGAACGAACGTTATGTTGTGTTTTAAAATGGTACGAAAGAATTAATTGATTTTTATTTATTGAAGAGGATAAAATTAAAATTATCTTGAAAGTGACGTGTAATCAGATAATCCGATTGGGCAAAGACTGATTACTCATTTTGACATTTTAAATGTAAGTATTAATAATAACGAAATTTGTAACTTATTATTTACAAATTTATAGCGAAGATAGAAATCGCACTTAATAAACTTTTTCTGTACGCAATAAATAAAAAAAAATCCAAAGACGAAAAATCGAAGACGAAGGAAGGGACGGTTAAGTGCAAACTTTCTACTACCAAAAGCCGAAACAACGAAATAACCTAACCGCATTTTAAAAGCGTCTTCCATTTTCTGAAACTTTTCACATTTTAGCCGATGTCGCGGTTCAATATCGCTTTGTGAAGTGACGTGTATTAAAAATTTACTTTTCACCACAAAAAGCACAAAGTCGATATTGGCAGGTAGACTAGGGTATTAAATTTTTGAGCTTTAAACTGTAGGTACGGAGGTTTTAATAACGCTTTGCTATAACAAAACAAGAAAGAAAGAGGTTAGTAACATTTAAATTCCGTTTATTAGTATTATGAAAATCTATACTAATATTATAGACCTTAAGAGGTTGTTTCTTTGTTTGAACTCGCTAATCTCATTTCCCGGGGATACTGATTCGAATCGAAAATATATTTTTATCTTGGTTATAGAGAACATAAAAGCAGAAAAAAAACAGTGGGAAATGTGGAAAAAAGGCAAAAACTATTTTTTATTAATCTTTGCGGATTTTCGATGCGTGCGCTGTGAAAACTAAAAACCAAGATACCAAGATCAAGATACCCAAAAAAATATGTACAAAAGAATGATTCCTATAACAATATAAGTCTATCTTATTAATTAACTTGCAAGTACGGTGGGTCACGCCAGGCGACAATTATATTTTATAAAGATAAACAAATTTTTACCCTCAATATAACTATAGCACTACGTCGAAGTCGCTAGCACAGCTAGTGCATTATAGTAGTAACAGGAGCATGGTAAAACTGAAGAATAACTTTTTCTTATAATGTAGGATTTTTTCTATAAGGTCTCGTATACGGCAATCTACTTACGTCTCAAATTTAGCTCCCCTCACGGCTGAAGTTATTCTAGTTCGTATCAAAAATCATTGTTTCCACACAGCACACTCGTTATACGTCATTAACGCAAAAATTATTCACTTTGCCGATAGATTTAGAAAGTAAGCGCCCATTAGACGATAATATTGTACCAGTTGGAAAGTAGCGGAAGAGTATAATTATGTGATATATTACTTTTAAACAAATTCATTTTAATAATTAATTAAATCATTCGCAAGTGTGTGTTTAGTATGACACAGTAGTCAAAATTCAGAACGATGTTTGATCAACACAATATACATATTCATAAAGTAATAATATTATCTTTCTTTATATATATGTACGTATGTTATACTAATTATAACTATGGCACAAGCAAATGTAATACTAGAAAGAAAACGTAAACACAAGTTTTCTTTACCCGCACAAGGCGCGGAGAAAATTACTTTTGACATACCGAAGATTTGTAGTCATTTCTTGCTCTCGCATTGAATAATAGTATACCTGTACCCTGATCTCCTACGACTCGAAATATAGTATATATTACAAGTAATTTATATACTAGACTCTTTATTAAACTTTATTCATTTTTAAATAAAATACTTTAACGGTTTAAAACACGATATACACTAGTTAAACTTATGCCGTACTTAAGGACCCGGCTAGTTTCGCCAAATACTAATGGCTCTAATGTTTTTACTTTGACGTCAGAGACATTCACCATCTTTAGACTCCCGTGTCCATGGCCGCTTCAAAGCATCCGAAACGTCGGGCCGTAGTTAAAAATAATTTTTAAATAAGTTTAACTAATTTATTGCGTTTTTAACCGTTAAAGTGTTTTATTTAAATATATACTACTCGCGTAAACTATAACAGACAGTATTTAATTATTCATTTTACAAAATTCTTACTCTATAATACAGAATCCAGTTAAAACTGGATTGTAAAAATTTTCTATCTCTAATTTAATTATTTATTTATACACAATTTCAGGCACATGTGCTCCCATCGGTGATCAGAATGCAAGTGAGCTGAATTCAAATTTGGAAGATGGGTAACGGGCTCAGTAGCGCCAACAGCAAGCGGCGGAAGGAAACGGAAAACGCTGAATCGTCCAGAGTACTCTTTCTACTTTACCTTATACATAGGACGTGGAATGTGTTAGTGGAACATGTCGATTCGAAGAGCGCCAGGTAATATTTTTAGTAGAAAAATACCTAAGTTTTTAAATGGTTTGCAAAATGTGAAACTGTATCTCCCACGTTGGACACGGAAAGGGTAGTTTATGTCGGTTTTAGACCGACTGTTTTTAAAAACCCAGGAATCTAGTGGTTAACGCAATGCTAACCGACATATTTGACTATTGAGCTACAGAGTAGTTACGGCTCTATTTGTTTTCATAGTAGTTCTAGAAACTTTTTGATTTCTAAATATATATAGATAAAACTGCCTTACTTGTCTGTACGAAACTGTTAGAAAAATGATATATCCTTCTTGCTTTAAACGTATGGCTCATATTTATCACAATTAATTCCAGATGGCGTCGCTCCCATTCGGCTCCGAGCTCCGAAGAACTGGGTCGTCGCTTCGACTCGGTAAGCTTCGACTCTGGCGGTTCCTGCTACTCCGACTGCAGCTGCAGCTATTGCAGACTTCGGGATTGTGCACAGGACTGTGTCAGGTGAGGAATACCAATTGAACGAGAGAAACAATCGATTGAAATCCACGAATTATGTCTATCGATTTTTTAAGCATAATTTTTTGACTTACGAAAAAGTCAGTTAGTTACAATACAGTGGCAGTTAGCATCTTTTTTTTATAGAATATAATATAATAAAAACTTTTAGCGGTTGAAAATGGTACATATACTAACTTCTGTTTAATTTATTTAAACCTGACGTTTGCGATGCTTAGCACACGTAGTCACGGGGGACACTGTAGGTACCCCCTAATATATGCATTGTAAACCATTAAAAGTGCTTTACTTAAATGAGTACTACTTAAACTACAGACAATAGTTAAAATAATTATCAAATAAGTTTAACCAATATATTTCGCGTTTTAAACCGTTAAAGTGTTTTATTTACTCGCGTAAACTACAGGGAGTAATTTATGAAGTTATTATAATTTAATAGTCTTTCTCTTAAAATTTTAATATCTAGCTTATAGACTAGGGAAAACATCACTAACATAGGTTTTATCTTGATTTCAGGTAAGTGGGTGCGGAGGCTCGCAGAAGTGAATGAAAAGCAAACAAATACCGCATTCTCTAATTTAATATTTGCTCAATTTGCTAATGGCTGGACGCTGCAAGTGTGTGCTATGGGAGAACAACGTATATTTAGATCTAAAACAGAATATACACCAAAAACTTGTATTCAAAACTAAAACGCAAGAAAACATTTTCACTAGGTTCGTTTATGTCATGGAATTAAAGATGGCTTGTTCTTTTTGGGGTAAAGTTTATCATTTACGTGTTAGATATGGCGTACATAGGACCTGTAAATTTATGTGCCTATCGAAAAACTTGTTGGGTTACGAACCTCGAGCGAACAAACGAAAAAGCCGTGAAATTTAAGCGGTTTCAGTTCGTAGTTTAAAAACATCCAAAATCAAAATAAGTCGACAGTGCATCTTATTAAGATATTATGTAAATGGTTTGGTGAGGCAAGGGAAAGTTAAATAACCCAATTTTCTCGGTAAGGGGGGAATGGGAAAATGGGTCAAATAGTTAGCTGATAATGTGAACTGATAACCCGGGCTTCTAACGGTATCCCCAATAGATTTCCATTGAACATATAGCTGGAATATTTCACCTCTTACTGAAATCCATGCTTCTATCTTCTATGTCATAAAACATTTTAGATTGTGACGGGCTTCTTGGTGTAATGGTAGCCATGTAAAACTAATAGTTAATGAGTCGTGGGTCCCCATCGGGTCCAGTAACGGAAAACGAAATTTCTTCAGGGTCATGAACAACTAACAACAAGCCTACAATTGAAAAAGCCATGAAGCTTAATCGCATTTCGGCTTTAGTCCGTGGTTTATCGAATATCCAAAGCCAAAGTATGTCCACAGCGCTTTTTGCTTAGATGTTGTACGCCTGGGGTATTCACATCTCAGTCATTGAGATAATAACAATTCTTATATCGTTCATGTTAACTTTCGAATAACATACCCAGATTACGCATGACTGTTTCACTTCCCTAAATTTCCGTGTGAAAAAACCTCTCGCAAGAATTACGTTCTTGAAAGTCAAACCCGTCATCTCTTGGCAGTTGACAGTCCGCCCTTATTTGAATGCTTATAATATTTTTCGCGAGTTTTTCCCCTAACTTATCGCGGTCTTATCTTAACGAAAGTTATATCATCCGTCTTTATGATGAATTGTTGTGGAACCGCTGGTTTATTTTCGTCAAGCTTCGCTTTTAATCTTTTATTATGATTCATAGCAGGTGCCAATCCATAGACCGAGAGTTGGAAAATATTTTCTTACATTAAACACTTTTAACTGTTTAAAACACGAAATATATAAGTTAACACATTTTTATTTACCTACAGCCCGACATTTCGAATGATTAGCAGTAGCCGTGGTTACGAGGGGACTAGAGATCGAGGGTGTCTATAATGGGCAAAACTGCTAGCGCCATCTCTTTTGTCGTACTTGGTATTTGGAGAATCTGATTGGGTCTGAGGACTGAATGTCCTCTCGTTTTCCAGTATTCTGTTTTTTTGAGATCTAGTGTTAAGTAACGTGAACTACTCTCGTAAACTATAGACATTATTGATACATCTCAATAATTTTAGAGTAGTACAAGTTTAAATAAAATGTGTGGGTTGTGGGCAACATGTTTCACTGTTGGACTAGAAGCGTTCTTTATAAAATATTAATTATTTAAATTGTGAAGCTAAATAACTTGTTATTGATGACCATGTAAACCTTACCTATGGGCTTAAAATGCTATAGATTTTTCCTAGTTTTTTCACGTACAACAGTTGAAAATGTTCAAAAATAAATCCGTTCACAAATCCGTAACGAAATTGAGTTTTATCCGTGATCCGGGATTATCAAAGGGCTAGTTCGTTCCAATATCGCTAAAAGATTGATACTCTAATCTGAATAATTGGATTTCGGAGGCGAAACGTATCGAAATCGCGTTGAGAGCAAAACGTGACCTACCTGCGTTTATTTAACTTTCATATTTTCACGAATTTCGCTTATGGCCTTCGGAGTGATTTTGTGAATTTTCAAACAAGAAAAGAATTTAGATTTTTCTCGATTTCCGCTTTAATAAGAATAGATGTAAGTATTATCAGTACGCATTGAAATACGGTAAATAAATACTTTTAACGGTTTAAAACGTGAAACATATGAGATAAGCTTTTTAATGTTTGGGGTTGCATTATAGTGGCTGTGGTTACAAAAAGTCAGTTATAAGGTAAAATGTTATTTCTTCTACAAAAACAAGGGATCTTTCTATGATCTTTTTTTTTTAAATCGATTTAACATTAATTAATACAGGAAACGAGTTTTAGATTTTAGCCACGGCAGCTGCAACTATTTTGTTTTTATTAAACTTATTTGTCTATAATCGTTGTATTTTCCCTACCTTTATTTAACTTAGTTTCCAATTACAACAACTTACTCTGAACTTAACAACCAAGCTTTTAGTGGGCACCTCACTTCGTTAGAGCTTTTTCTTTTGTCTAAGCTTTTTGGCTAAAAGCGAGGGTTGTAAAAGTTTTTTTTTAATTCTAGATAACCTTACAGATCGAAGACTAGTAACAAAGACACCTTGCGCAGCTTCTTAAAATTATCCTAAGTATAAGAATATAAATATAACTCTTTCAAACAGTATTAGAGGATTTCATAAGTATTTCTGAATTAGGAATATAAATTTTAATTGAAAAATGATTTTAGATTATAAAATTTTAAGACACGGGCGTGACTTGAAGCGGCAGCCACAACGTTACACGCCATCGTGAAATTTTTCCCAGCTATTTATATATACAACTTGTACGCGATGCAAAGATATACATTTTACATAATATATTCTGCAACATGGACTTAAAATCTAAAGAAATGTAAAATAAATGAGTTTTTCGTATCATTACTATACCTACATGAAAGCTTATATGAATTTCATATTGATTTAAGACAAGTACAAGATTCACTGTATTTATGAGTTTAAGACCCGATCGGGTTATATATGTATATATATTTAATTTAATTAAATGTAATAATTAAAATTAAAGATCAGTAAGAAATAGACTAATAATTAAAATAAGTGAAAATTAACGAGACTCAGTTTCAATGCAATTAAACCAATCTCCATCACCCAATTCTGCTTTGACGACTTCTGAAAGGGACTTTAAAGGAATGTTTGGGATAAGCCCCTCAAAATCAGCTAGTTATGTCAAAGACTTTGAGAACTACTGGCTAGTTCTAACCATTTTGATAGCAAACGCTGGTTGAGATAACGAGGTCTCAGCGAACTAAGGACAGTGTACAAGCACAGTTAAAACCGCCTTTGTTTTAAATATTATAATAATTTTGCATTTCTTATAACAAATTAATCTATACTAATATATAAAACTCAAGAGTTTTTTTTAACGCGCTAATCTCGAAAAATTATTTTTGTGTTAGTTAGAAAATTTATTGATGGCTATAAAACATCGCGCTGTGACTAATGGAAGCGACAATACAGCGTGAAAAGTGAACAAAAATGGGGGGAAATGTTTCATCTCTGTGGGTTTCAGTTGCGAAAACGATTAAAGATAACTAAAAATTGTGTAAGAAAGAATGATTCTAAAAAAGAAGTCCACGCCTCTATATATCTATCTTTTAAGACCTTTTTTACCTTGCAAGAACGACGGTAAGGGACGCGATCGACGTCGTGGCTAACAAATTAACTTTATAAAGATGGCGGGCTTTGCAAAATCTAATTTGGATGCCCAAAATAACGATTCTCGCGGACGAAGTCGCTAGCACAGTAGTATAAAATAACATCAGTTTCAAAATTGTTTCTGTATTATATTTTTGATCAGATTATGGGGTATTTTACATACGATCCTGTGAAACCCTATTTCAGTTACAGTGTTTTATTATTATTATTATTACCAATAGCAATATAACAGATCATAGCATAGCACAGATTACAGCTAGGTCCTTAGATCTCGTAACACTCTAAGCTCAAAACCCTTATTTTCTGGCGTCTTGTATGTGGTCCGTTATCAGTAATGAATTCACAAATAAATTTAGTTTCAACACATTTCTTGGAAAAACTCAGTAAACTCGAGAGTATTAGACGTAAATAGACCGTTTGTCAGTCGATTCTATTGTTCAGTACACAGCGAGCTTTACACTGGCTCTCGCTATTGAAGTTCTGCTTGAATTTTAAACGGAAAAGATTTACGTAGTTCTGTAAATACCTTTCAAAAGGAAGAGAAAAGATAATCACCGTAGAATAAACAATTAAAGCTGGGATAAAGATCGCGCTCAGCTGAATCCATTATATTAAAGTCTAAAACATACTACACAACGGAAGAACTTGCGAAGATTTAAGGACATTTTTATGTTAAAGAAATTATTTAAATGTAACGTTATGTAAATGTAATAAGTAGTCAAAACAATGTCTAGATATGGTCATAGTAATAATTTGTGTGTATTATAGGCCGTTTGTTA